CACCAGTGTAACTGGCCTTTCCTTCAGAGATATCAGCCTGTTATAACATGGACTAACAACCCATGTGGCCATATTATAATCTGTGACTGGTGAGACTGAAACTGACGTGACCAGGTTCTATATAACCAAGTTATGCCATTAGCCTACAACAAGTTGGAAGCCCATGAACACAAGCAGCTGACTTAGCCTTGCAGTCTGATCCAACAACAAAACTCAAGGGCCTGTGAAGGTATGAACGTAATGTAGGATGGTGGGCATGCAGGATAGAACCCTAAAGAGTTTGTTTCGGAACCAATGCATATGTAAGAAGATGGAGATCAATATCTTATCAGGAAGAGTTTGCATATTAGAGAAATATCAATAGCACTGCTTTAGGGGAAGGAATGTGACATGGTTTTAAAATTTGCAGTCAGCAGGTAATGTTGATCAGTATCCATGCTAAAACAGTCCTACAGGAAAACCACATCTAACCAGCTCCAGATTCTCAGTACGGTTATCTCCTACCAAAACCTAAGCCGTGATGCCCACAGCTCGCTTGTCACTTCCTTGAAAACTCAATCAAATTTGTGAGACAAGATCCCACAAAAGCCATGCTGTCCATCCCTAATAAATCCATTCTTTTCCAAATGTGTGTAAATCCTGTTCCTAAGACTCTTTTCTGATAATTTCCCTGCCACTGATGCAAGGCTCACCAGCCTACAATTTCCTGGATTAACCCTGTTGTCCTTCCTTAAACAAAAGAACAACATTGGCTGTTCTCCTGTCTTCTGGAACCTCATCTGTGACTAAAGAGGATACAAAGATTTCTGTCAAGGCCCCAGCAATCTCTTCCCTGGCCTCCCTCAATATCCTGGGATAGATCCCTTGATGCCCTGGGGACTTACCTACTGTAATATTTTTCATGAAGGTATCTGCCCACTCACATAACAATGAAAGATTGAGGGTATTTGCAATAATGAGTTAGGTGGAAGAAAATGCAATGATTTCTTATTTCTAAGTAATGAGGTTGCAGAACATATTGGGTGGTGTATCTGGATAGTTGAGAAAGCAGGATAGGAGAATGGGGGAAAGTGGATGAGGTTCTTATGGGACTGACATTTCTGGGGAAAAGAAAATGAAACTCAAGAGTGGCATTATAAAACTGAGATGTGGAATAGGTTGAGAAAGGAAAACATTAAAATAAGCCCAACAACCCTTTGAGACATGAAGGCAAACTTGTAGAATTTGAGTGCAAATGTGAGCAGCATACTTAGACTTTAGCATCAACGCTTTCAAAGGGTGATGGGTACAATTTGCCTTCTTGCTGCAAGATACTATAAAGCGGACAGAAACATATCAAGGAGAGGATGCAAAAGAGGTTTACCAGGATGTTGAGATAACACAGTGTGGAGCTGGAGGAACACAGCAGGCCAGGCAGGATCAGAGGAGCAAGAAAGTTGACATTTCGGGTTGGTATGTTGCCTGGATTGGAGTGCATTAGCTGTAAGATTGATTTTGCTACAGCATCGGAGGCTGAGACGTGACCTGGTAGAAGTATTTAAATTATGAGAGGCATGGAGAGGATTGATGGTTGAAGTCTTTCTCCCAAGGTTGAAATGTCAAATACTAGGGGACATAGGTTTAAGATAAGGGGGCAATGTATAAAGGAGATGTATTTTACATAGAGGGTGGTAGGTGCCTGGAACATGTTGCCAAGAGAGGTGGTAGAAGCAGATAGGATAGCAACTTCTAGGAGTATTTAGACATATGGACAGGCAGGAAATAGGGGGATGCAGACCATCTGCAGGCAGATGTATTTAGTTTAGAATGATACGCTGGTTGCCATGGATGCATTGGGCCGAAGCAGCCCATTCCAGTGCTGTACTGCTCTATGTTCTACGACTATCGTACTAATACATCATTCATCCAGCAATCCCTTTTTCATTTTTTGTTGGCCCCACTCAGTGGAATATTTCCAATTCTGATCCTTTTGTTACATCATCAGCTCTTCCATCCCTCTGATGCGTTATCTTCTTGTCCATTCCTCTTACCTTGCTAGCTCTGAATTTCCTTTGCGTTGCCAAAGTCTCTCTGCTCTCTGACACACGAACACATATGAACAAAAGAACAAGCACCCCTCTCTGATCCCTCTCTGCTCCAGTTATCTTGTTTTTAGATCCTTTATGCTCCACTCCACTTAACATACTGGTCTCTGCATGCTCCACTGCATTTGACTGACCAGTCCCTTTCTTCTCTAGCCCACTTTGAATTACTGGCCCATCTTTGACTCACTGATTCCTATCTGCTCTAGTCCTTCTCTGGCTGCTCATTAATATTCCCGTTGCCAGCGATTTTGTTCCATACAGAAATATTTGAAGTTCTAGAGAGCGCAGGAGAGAAAGTGTGTGAGTTTCAATGACATTATCAGAGCTTCATATGAGCATTCCACTCTGCGGTAATTTTACCTAAAGCATGGTTTTAATTTGGCACAAATGAATTTCACCATTGACTAAAGGATTGTACTCAAATCACACCCCAAACAGGGAAAAGTTTGAATGGTGCATTGTTTTTCTGGTATTCAGGAAAATGAATTCCTGTCCTCAGAGAGCAGAGCTGACTCCAAAAATCAGTTATTCACAATGAAATTCAAAAGTAATTGTGATATTTGGAATTATTTCAAGTTATGAATCAGAACAAAAAATGATGCTTGAAATGAGGAACAACAAGTTCACCTAAGCAGATATTAAGAACCTGAATGTCACCTAAAATTAAAGTGGACATAGAGACATAGAGGAGCAGCTGGGTAATGTTACGAAGAGAGCAGGCAGGACTCGGAAGAGTAACTGGGAATCACAAAGGGTGAAGCAGACAAGGAAGATTTAAGGTGTGGATGAAAGGGGACAGGCAGGATATGGAATCTGTGAGAAGTGAGGAGAAAGATCAGAAGGGCACTTGGAGGACATAAACCAGGGAGGTTGGCATTGAAGGTGTTTAGAGGAAACAAGCCAAGTGCAATGACAGTCCATTCTGTTGGAATGTACAGAAAAAGACAAGTCATGAGCAGGGTTGGGGTCTGGTTACTTGTAAAAATGAAGGGAAATAGAGGCCCCTAAAAAATGGGATGGGGAGAAGGGAGGAGAGGAGACATTGACATTGCATAGAAATGATTCTGTCTCTTTCTTTTTTTCAAGATGAAAATTTATTTTCCAAAGAAACAGGTTTGAAAGTCAGAACAAAGCATACAAAATAGAGTCCTCTAAAGTGATGAAAGTAATGACTGCCCAATGTGATAGGAGGAGAAGTGAAATCAGGGATACTGGACAAAACAAGCAACGTCTGTGGACAAGGAGAGACTGTGCAAGCAGGATTGAAAACCAGATAGAGTGAGGTCTATTGCAAAGCTGCAGACAACACACTCTTGGCACAGTTCAGGAACAGACTGATGGAACAGTGATTGCAACCACACATAATTGCTGCCTAGTTAGTGAATGATTGCAGTTTGTGTTTAGATTGTAGGGCATACAAATTACATGACACTGGCTGGCTCTGTCAGCTCCATTTCCAGTGGTCTGTTCTTTCCCAAAAGAAATGTTTCTGTGGTTTAAGTTTAAATTGAGGCTCTTCAAATATGCAGTGGTACACCAGGGCCAATTACATCTCTAAATCCTTGGAAAATGAAACACCTTCTTAACAAAGCTTACAGTGCCTCGTATACAGCAACCACCCTTTGTGATCCACTTGCAACTGCTCCTGCTTCACGACAGGCTTAGTTGTATTCCTTGAAATTATTGACATGGCTCCTCCTCATGTTGCTACATCATGTAGGTAGAGACAAGCAAGTGCCCCAGTTCAATATCCCTGATCTTTGTATCTCGTTTCAGCTGAGCTGGGATATGGGCAACTTCAATTGACTTCAAATAGTCAGTCTTGATGGGGAAAGAGAGCAGGAGAACACCCTGTGGTTAAAATGAACCCTTTGAGAGAAAGGATATCCGGAAGGAGTGAGAGGAGCGAAAGGGAGAGAGAATAAAGAGCAACACTGGAGGCCAGACTGAATCAGTGATTATTTCATTGGGAGTGAGGAATAAACATTAGGGTGAAAAGAGAGGTTGTTAGAGAAGACCAGGCCAGGCAAATATTTACAGGAGAGGAAAGACATTTAAGGTATATGTAAATGAGTGATGAGAGTTGGGCAGTGATGACAAGATTTAATTTGACTTTGATGACACCCTCAAACCAATAGCCTGCTGACATTCTGTAAAAAAGGGTGACTGAGAATCGTCCATGACTGCAGAACAGTTTCCGAGCTGTCAAAGGAGCCAAGTCACAGTAATAAATTATATTCAAGCAGAAACAATGATCCAAGCAGTGTCTACCTGATGAAATCCATCTTGTGGAAACTGACTCCAGTTTTTTTTTTCTCCCAGTTCTCTTACTGGTCTCCATTATACCACCAGTTATAAGCAAACTGGATATTGTCACAACAAAGTGCACAAATGCAGAATATAATCCAGGTCAAATTTTCAGAAGATTTGATAATTGGGAATAAAATCCTGACTCTTTCTGTATGATAATTTGAAAATATAAGCGGCTTCAACTTGATGAGATATCCCTTGGTCCTTCACAGAATTGTAAACAGCAATACCAGGCTTTGGAAAGGAGCTTTCAGAGTGGGTTAATGAAAGAGTGTATCTTAAAAGAGGAGAAAGAGATGAAGAGGGCTTGTGTTGGGGAGGGAATCCAGAGCTTAGGGCCTACAGAGCTTAAGGCAACATTTAGGGGTGGAAATATTGAGCAAAAGGAAGTGAGGATCAACAAGAAGCTAGGGTTGGAGAAATACTGAGTTGTCAGTGCGTTGGAGGGCTGGAGGAGATTACAGACATAGGGAGAGTAGAAAGCATGAAAAGATTCGAACATAATGCTGTTATTGTAAAAGGCACAAAAATATTTATAGCTGTTCAGTAAGTTTCCTCATTTTTATTCTCTCATTTTTATTCTCTCTTTTTTCCTTCAACATTCAGGTGACAGTGAGGTGGTAGATAACATGTATGAGACAGATGCTGAGCCACCAGCTGGGGAGAGCGGTGAAGAGGAAACAGAAGACAGCATCATGTCCCCAATCCCTGTCGGCCCACCATCCCCACTTCCCCCTAGCAATGAATTCACTCCAAAAGAAGGGTCCCCGTACGAAGCCCCTGTCTACATTCCTGAAGACATTCCGATCCCGCCTGACTTCGAGCTGAGAGAGTCTTCAGTCCCTGGAGCAGGATTAGGGATTTGGGCCAAGAAGAAGAATGAAGTAGGAGAGAAATTCGGTCCCTATGCTGGGATTCAAAGGGTGACACTGAAGGATCCAAACTTTGGATGGGAGGTCAGTCGTGTAATTGTTGATTTATTATTGTAACTGATTGATTGCGCTCAGGAGTGCTACATGATTCCGACTAACGGCATTTTTACCCTGGCAGTTTGCCATGGCAGTATCCCTGTCATATTCCCACTGGTGCCAATATATCTGATGTAAACTCTACACTTGTGAAGGGGCCCCAGTCTTCAGTCTTTCACAGTAAATCTATACGTGGGCCAGAGGAGCATGGCAAGGTAAAACAAGAAGGGCCACGCTCTCAGATCATCATTTCAAAACCGCTCTCATGCTGCACATCAACAGCATGAAACTCCATTGCTGTACCTGATGGATTCTGTAGGAGTGGTGCAGAATGCAAATTAGCAGGGTGCTTGCTCAAAGCTGATCTTGTGCTTCTTTAGGCACAGGCCTAACCTTCGATGGTACATTGGACAAGTAGATTAAGGAGACAGAGGAACAAAATCTCAAAAGCACGGAGTCCCATCAAACTCTCAAAGAAAACTTTGATGAAAATGGTTTCAAGATCTTGTGATCCAAATGCATTGCATAGGGTATATTATTCTGCCCTTTTTGGATATTTCTAGTTTTTTTAATAATTCAAGATTGTAATTCACAAACTTTCCTTGTTGGATGTTGGAGTAATTTTAAGGATTCAGAGAGTCCACAAGTTGTTCTAACTATGTTTCCATTTTGGTGCTTGGTTTGGCTCATGGTTAACCTAGTTGAATGTAAAGTTTCGAACTGCAAGTATGTGCTACTGGACTTTGCCTCCTTCAGCTGTCTTTGTTGTGCTTGTGTTAATTATAAGGAAAACATGTTCCATAACAGCTTTGTACAAACTAGAATGTGGCTGTTTTGGAAATTACGAATCACCTCTGTCAAAGGTGTTTCCAGTTTGGTGTTAGTCAAGCGTATGACCAAGTACCAGATTATAGAATAATCACTGATCTCTGGGCATTCCTTTCAGTGAATTGCTGGGTATGCTGCTTTAAAATGGTAGGAGGCTCACCATATTCCAAACAATGTATTAGTTAGCTGGTGAGATACAGTGGTTTCTTTTTAATTGGTAAATATCCAATGTATAACTGCTCTGAGGCCAATTAGAGCCTAATTGTTTGTAGGCGTATTCAGGGGTCAATCAGTGGTCAAAGGAAACCAACAAGAAATAACTGGCTTTGTTTTTTGCTGTGTGGCACAGAGCTTTGTGTATTATAAAAGTGTGACAGGCTTGCCTCAAAGTGTTTATACTGTATGTATTAGCCAACCCTTGTGGCATTGCTCATTGGGAGTTGAAGATATGCTGTTTTTAAAATAGTGTAACTCTTTGCAATTGAATGCGACAGTGAAAATATCACAGGAGGTAATTGTGAGACTTACAGAATGGGCTTTTGTATTAAAGGTTCATAACACCTTAGAGATATGCAATACTGTTTTGTGACAGGGAAAGAATTCAACCTATCAAGCCACTGCAAATTATAAATCAAATGCCAGCATGTATAAAGCAGTTCTTGGATTCTATTTTATGCCTTGTTTTAATTTGACTGAAGATATTTCATGAACCTGGTATCCTCTTAACCTTACTGAACAGTCAGCAGGATTTAAATCTAGTCCTTGTTATAACCCGATCAAAGAGACTCCAGTACCGCGATCAAACCCTTGCTTTAATTTCACCCCAGGAGGAGTCAAGCATCCTTTCTCATTTCCCATTTAATTGTGACTGAGCCGACTTTAGAATCCTGATCCAATCCATGTTTTCTGGCTGTTTCTCATTTCTGGTTATGATGTAATTATATTGTTTGACATTTGTCGCTATGACAGCATTTCCCTTTTTAGGGAAACAATGGTCAATGAGACAGAATTGAATTACTGATTTTGAGCCTGCTTCACTGCACAATACCAGATTTGTTTTTGAAGAATGGCCATTGCAAGACTCTGTGCTGAAAGTGATGTAACATGGCTGAAGGTCATGTGACCTTTCTCTTCACAGAGTTTGATCATTCACCCTGAAAGAAGATCAGTGCTGCAATATCACTTCTATGATGTTGCATTAATCCTTTGTTAGAAAAGGCAAAACTTTTCATCGCAAGTTCAGTCCTCCTGTGATATATTCAATTGACAGACCCATGGCAAACAGCAATGGGGAAGTTCCATCATGGCTGCCACTTTGGAAAGATGGGAAACCCAACCGCCTCGCAGCATAGTAAAAGAAACAAGTTTGTGTAGTCCCATTAGAGGGAGACGACTGGTGGGTGAGTTTAACCTGAGGGTTGCCATGCTTCAGGCAAAGTTGAGATGATTGGACCTTCATGATAACCTAAGCCAGTGCATGAATAGAACTCATTCTGTTTGGCACCACTCTACATTGCAAACCAGCCACCTAGGCTATCCTGCTATCTCAATAACATAATATTATCTGTGTCAGAAAGGTATCTATATTGTCCTGTTTACATAGAACTACTATGATGGCAGGCCTATCTCTACAGTTGCTGTCACAAGGTAAGTGGTGTAATGTTAGAGTTGCCAATTCAGAAGCAAATATTCCAAGATTTTTTTTCTCTCACATCGTGATGCCAGTCTTGATTGCCCTTTGACCTGTCATTTCCAAGCCATCATTCTTTTTTTCAGTATGGCTGAGGAAACGAGGAATGTACATGTTCCACCAATATCTATGTTTTAATATAAAAAAAAGAAACAACACTCAAAAAGAGATTTGGTGGAAAGCTTTCTAAGCTTTTAGCCTCCTTAACCAAAGCATTTATTTTCTAGCCTGTCAGAAAGCAGATAGAAATGCCGCTTCTTACTTTGAGTGTTGGAGCTCTTTACAGGCTGGATAGAGACAAAGGCCCAGGGAGTAAGCTGTGTGTAAATCCTTCTAGGCTGGACCTTCAGTTTTCAGGGCAGTTGAATGTTGTCAGAGGCATTGCTCGCTTAGCCATTGACACCTCCTGTCTTCTTCGTCCAAACTCTCTCAGTTTTGCTGAGGTCGATTTGAGTGGAACGTCAGCAACGCCAGTGGGGGAAGAAAATACAGGTTGCCCTGGCAGCAATGCTCCTGAGCTCAGTACTGTGGCTGTGTTGGTCACGTTCTATGTCACACCTCTGTGCCTATGCAGGAGTGAAGACTGCAAATACAATTCAGTTCAATGGACTAGAGCCAGCTGAGAATATTGAGTCATAGAATCATAGTTTTAAGAACTTGTGGATTGTTTTCAATATCCATTTGGAGAGGAGTGGTGAATCCAGCAGGCTCCTGAGTGTTCCAGAACACTAAGCAATGTATCTGTGCAACTCAATATTCTTTATTAGCTGCTGCCCTCAGTCTGGACTATAAGGAGTATCAGAGATAACAAGGTGTAGAGCTGGATGAACACAGCAGGCCAAGCAGCATCAGAGGAGCAGGAAA